TTTTGAGGAAGAGATTACCTGCTGTTCATGAACGGATTTTGTCCAGAGTACATGGTAAAATTGTGGGGTTGGTTCACGCTGCCACTGGTATTGGCAGACTACCTGATTTTCGGAAGCTGAGATAAAGGCAAGCAATATTTGTGTGTAGGCTTTGAATACAATGCCATTACTCAGGTAGATGTGACAGCATGAATGCATCTTCTCTGGAAGCTTTCCCAGTGCCAGAGATCATCTAACTGGGAGCACAGACCACTGACACAGCTGTGCCTGAACCCCTGCCACTGCAGACAATATTGCTGTGGGCATGTGGTCCAAGCAGCTCGCCAGGATCCCCTCATGCCTTTCTCCTTGGCGCAATATGTGTCTTTGAAGCTCTAGTGCTTCAAAGCAGTAGAAGGCCACAGCACTTTCCTCATCCCTTAGGTGGGCAGCTATTATATTACAAGACTCTTCTACTTTCTCGTATCTTTCCCGAGCAGACTTCCCAGGTTTGTAAGGTACTGGGGTTGTGGGGCACTGAAAACAGAGGAATTGGAGTTTAGAGGCAGGGGAACAAACACCTTCAGCAGACAGCAAAAATTATTTCAAAATGAAGAGCAGCAGTTTGCTGTCCTCACTGAATATCTACCTCATCCCAGGCCCGGTGTGAAAGGCATCTTTCAGCAGATGATGGTGTTGGGACGCAGGGGCTGGAAGGACTCATCGTCAGGGCTGCTGCTGTGTAGAGGTGCATCTGCCTCCTTGGTGCAACAGCCATCGTGCTGGCTTGGGGAACAATAGAGCTTTGTGCCTGGCAGATGTTCAGGCAGAGAAGAGGCAGAATTTGCTTTCTTTTCCTGAGGGCAGTTGAAACACTGACCTGATTTCCGAAAGGGTGGCTGGTGCTTCTGCAAAGTCAGGTTATGAGCAATTTGGCCAAGGTCATTGCAGCAAGTGAGTGATGCTGTCAGAGATGGATAGAAATCTCTGTGTGGGTGCTTTAGCTTGATGGTCCCAGCACAACACCTCCATTAATGCATGACATGCTAGTGATTTATCCAAGCAGTGTACTTTGCTGATTAGGTTTTATCTTGGGAGCGGTGGGAACAGTATGTGTGTCTTCTACATCCAAAGAGCAGAAAGCGTACCTTACTCTGAGCAAAATATGGTCTTTGGCCTCAGAGTCTTGGCACTGAATAATACCAAAGGTAATGGTTGCATATGATCCTTCTCCTGACTTCATAGGAGGAGGGGGAGGACTGCAGGAAGCCCTCACCTAATCAGTTGCTCGGCAGGAGGAGGTGCACCTTGCAAGCTCGGTATAGAATCACAGGAAGAAGTGGAGTGAAATGACAGGAGTTACCACAGATGTTTGCCATACTGTGCCAGTGAATATATGAAGAGGAAAGGGCAGGGTGTTAACGGACACAGGACTTTCCTAGGAGTTGTTTCTGAGGTGGTGTTCAAAGTCTGTGTGCCCTGTCTGTCTGGGGTATTGTTGCCAATTCACTCCTCCAAGACCTGAGCCCTTGAGAAAGCTGATTCAGTCTGAAGGGAGGTTTGAAAGGCCAGAGATGAGGCCAGCCCTGAAGTGGAGGTGCCTCCTCAGCAGAGGGATGAGCTGCATGCTGTGAAGCCTGGCTTGCAGCACAAAGATGTGAATGAAAATGGGCAACATAGTTCTATCCCTACCTATGTTTTGGGATCTGTTTTCTGATGGTGAGCTGTGTGCACTCAGGAGAGGCAGACAAGGCTACAGATTTGTTTGTGAAGGAAGCAGCAGGAACATAGGGTCAGTCCCAGGAGGGAGGGGGCAAGAAAGTGCTATAAACTGTTGAATAATTTCAGTTGCCTCATGAAACCTCTCCCCCAAGGACTCTCTCAGGAAGCAGATAGGAGTGGAATGCATCTATATGTGTTTGCAATGCAAGGGCATTTGTACAATGAATGTACATAAAATTAAGAAAACACAAGGGGTTACAATAGGGAATAAGAGATTTAAAAACTTTGAATTATAAATCACCAAAGCTTCAGAGGTCCTATGGCTGAGATGCTGGAAAATAGTCATCTTTTACTTTGTTATCTACAAGTCTTCTGTATGAATAATAATTACCCAGTGTGACAGAGGAAGGCCATGTGCTTTCATTCAAGCTCAGTCTTTATAGATATGAGGCTAATATAGAAGATGAGCTACTTGCTTTAATGGTACTATAATTTGATTAAATATTAGAATATATGCCTTCAGTATCTGCTTTCTAAGCAACAGTGAACTAGGCTGGAGGAAATGTTCTTTGCTTTATGCCCTATGGCTTGTGATCTGGTTTATTTGGTTTTAGACCCTAAGGCAGACAATACCTTTTCCATGTTTTAAGTAGTCTTCTTGTATAAGTCCAGAGAATGAAAATTGCTTTCTCTATGAACCTGTCTATAAAATCTTCTGCTGTTGTTGTTTTTCCAACTTCTGCTATAGGTCTGCACTTTGTGCCAGCACAACTTAAATTTTGGTCTTACAGTCCATCCTTAACCCCTCCTTACTCCCATTTCTCTGAGGTGACTAATCACACCCAGCTCCTTGTGAAGTAGCTGACAGCACTGTGAACTGCTCGACTGAAAGTCAGCCAAAAGTCCAAATGCTCTGAGCATTGCAGACATTTGTATTGCATCTCAGTGGTTTTCCTTCCTTCCACCCTACAGGATCTCATGACCCCACAGATACTAGAGCAAAACAGGAGAGGCTTTCAATGGAAAAAAATCAATGTGTCTTGGCAGCTTGTGAAAGATCTTCTACAGGGAGCTGTAGAGCTGTGTGGAGGAGTGAGCAATCCATCACCAGCAGCATGATTTCCAATTCATTGAAGAATGCTGAAGAAAATAAAAAGTGAAGCAACAGTGTCACAGCAAGGAGAGGGGATGTAACCTTTAAATAGCAGGCTTTTTCCACCTCTCTGAAGCACTGGGCATTGGCTTCCTTGCAGAATTAGGACAAACAGCTTGATGGGCCTGCAGTCTGATCTTTTTTGGCAGATCCTAAGGGCATGGGGGTACTGACAGGCTTGTTAGCGTTTGACCCAGTTTAAACTACACAGGTCCTCAGGAACAAAGACTCTCTGAGAGGTTAAGGAGAGGGAAACCTGAACCAAATTGACATTGAGAGAAATATTCATAGCAACTTGAGATATAAGTACCTCAGGAAGAGGAACAAATCTGCCAAGCCAAAAACCTTGCCCTGCTTTTGTCTCAGGCTGCCTGGAGACACCCATGCCATCGGGCCTCAGAAAAACCAGCCTACAATAAATAATAGAACAAGAGTGTACTTCTCTGCAGTAGGAGCAATTGGATTTGAATGAGAGTCAGAGACTGACTTGTCAAGCTCTTATCATCTGACTTACAGCTGAATAAGCAAATATATACAAGTTAATAAACAAACCAAACTAAATAAAACAACATAGCTCACAGTGCAAAGTCGAGAAGATGACTGGTCTCCTGGAAAATTTTTCTGTGGCTCTAGCAAGGTTCAGGTCATTGCTGAGTGCTGCAACTACAAGAATTGGTGATTGTGATCTTCTATATATTTTTTTTTAATATAAATTGGGCCGTGAGAAAACTGTTTAGTTCTTCCTTGTCTGCTGTCAGTAGAACACTACAAGAAGCTGAGAAGAGAGCATAGAACTTGTTAATTTGAAGAGATGAAGAGAGAAAGATGCTGACCTAGGTGGCCTCTAGGTAGGAATAGTTACTCCATGTACCTCCATAAAATGACACATGCTGGATGAAATAACAGGTTCCTTGTAGGCATTTCCTTATCAAAGGCACTTGTTGAACAAGGACAAATGTAAATCATAAAAAAAGGAGAAGAGATTTGACTCACACTGCTAGGAGTTAAATGAAAGGGGTCATAGGAGTCCACAGTAAGCAAAGGATGAGACTGTAATTATTACAGACAGCGTGGACCAAGACTTGTAAACAGATGAAACTGAAAAAGATGAAAGTGCATATTGAATTCTGCCAACAACCTCCTTATGATATACAGATGTCAGAATTATCTGACATATGCATGGATCTCATCCCTTTGGAGAAGAAAATCTTAGAACTTCAAAAGAATCATCTCTGCCCCTTTAAAAATAGGTGCCGCTCCCGGACAGAGCTGCAAGTACTTTGGCATCGGGTGATCCTAAAGAGAGGGGTTTTAGCAATGCAGGTAAAATAACTCTGATTTCTTCCTCGACGCGGCAAGAAAGAATGGTTAGTAAATCTTAAATGAACTGGGAACGAAGCGACATTTTAGGTTTTTGCTGTGAAAAGGAGCGCGGGTAGCCAAGAAATAGCTCTCCGTCCTACAAATTAACGTGATACGGGCGACATCCATCTGGGAGCGTGGATGGAGCATGCACAAAAAGCCATCCGATGCGGGCGGTGGTTGTTGCTTCGACGTTCGGGTGGGGAGAAGCAGCAGCCGTTTCCCCCGACAGGATTCCCACAGGAAGCCCTCAGCGCAGCCCGAGCGCCGGGCGGGGCTCGGCCCATTCCGGCAGCGGAGCTGCGGGAGCTCCCTCCTGGGGGGGGAGGCAAAAGACATTCCCGATAGGAAGTGGCACCGTCTCCTTTTTTATTTAAACAAAGCCAACTTCCCCGCTCACGCCCGGAATGGGGGGGTTACGGAGGAAGGAAGATTAAGCTTTAATCACGTATCCCGAGGATTGCGGATGAAAAGCGCGACAAAGTCGCCGGAGGGGGTGGGGACAGGACTCTCCCGGACCCCACGCGCCAGGAATGCCCGGCTAAGACGCGGGGCAGGAGGGAGGCCGCGCAAGGTTTAAATGCCCCGCGGAGGCGGTCCGGCCGTGCGGCGCCTCCTGCCCGTCCCCGCCCCGCTCAGCTGACAGCGGGGCCGCCGCTGCCCGCCCGCAGGAGCTGCTGCTGCTCGGTGCCTGCCCGCCTGCCTGCGCGGCCCCGCCGGGGATGGGGGGCGGCGCGCCCTGACCGGCCCGAGCCGCTGCTGCCGCCGGGAGCCGCCGCCGGGAATCGGCGGGATGAGCGGGAGCGGCGCCCCCGGGCCCGGCGCGGCGCCCTGCCGCTTCGCCCACTACTTCGTGCTGTGCGGCATCGACGCGGAGAGCGGGCTGGAGCCCGACGAGCTGGCAGGTGAGCGCCGCCGCCGGGAGGCCTCCGCCCGCGCCCGCACCGCCGCGGCTCCGCCGGCTTTTAGGATGCGCGGCTTCAAAATGTCTGCGCCCCACGAGGAGGGAGGGGGGCGAGGGGAGGAGAGGGTCTGCGCGCCGGTGGGAGCCGCGGGGAGGGGGGCGACTTTGAAGGATAAAGCATCCTCCCGGAGGGGCTGGAGCATACCCCCCGAGGGCAGCTCCCACCGGGATGCGCCCTTCCCCGCAGGCCGGGCTCCGCCGACCCGCCGCTGGCCCTGGTCCCCGGTGGTGGCGGGGGACGCGCAGCCTTTGCCCGCCCTCGGCCCAGCCGCGGCCGGCGGGGTGCGACTGGCGGAAGAAGGGTACCCAGGGTTATGGAACTGGAGGGAGCCGAATGACCGAGCTTTCTGTCGGGGCAGATGCTTTTTCTTCCCTATCTGCACTGGAAAGGAGGGGGAGGGATCTGGGAAGAACTGAATAAATTAATGGAATCGTATCTTTATTATGTCGCTTTATTCACATCTTATGTCTGTTCAGAAATAGTCCCTGCATCTTTCCATCCCCCTCCACCCCAGAATTGTTACGGAATCAGAGAACAAAATTATTGGTTTAGGATCTAACACATTTTCTAAAACGTTTATTTTTGGTGGGTTCATGACTGTATGTGAGCCGATTATGTTGGCATAAGGCAGCAGTTCTTCTTCAATGTCACTTTTGTTTATGTAAAAGAAACTAAGGTTTTTACATGTAAAATTCGATCGACTTCAGGCTTAATAACAGGGCTTAATTGCCTGGAAGCTAAACGTTTTCTCATGGGCTTACAAGTTTGGAAATGCTCAGGTGCCTGTGTTTGACCATTCCTGTGCATTTGCACTGCAGTCGAATGAGCTGTGCCTGGCTCAAATTGAAGGCAGCTGTACTATCATAGCAAGCACCTCTGCTTGCTTGTGGGATCCTGGTGAGGTCTCCGCAGCTATTATATCAGGAAGTACCTTGGCGTCAGGTTGTGTAAGACAAAGACTTGATGATCTGTGTCACTGATCAATGTACACTGGTTGAAGTTCATGTTTTTGTCACCTGTAAAAGGGGTGGATGAACATACCTGACTTTCCAAGGAGCTTTATCGTAATGCAGGTTCCTAAATCTCTACCCTGTGCAGTGAGCACACGCTGGAGGTAACCCCAGGATCTCCAAGCTGAAGCATTAGCCAAGTGTGCTTTAATCTCTGTTTTGGGAGTTTTTCACATGTTCTAGTGACCGCAGTTGTATGTTTTCAGTTTTGCTGCTTTTAGTAGAAAACTCTTGGCTCGTGACCATCTCCCAGCTGATGGTGTACAGGGTTTGATTTGCATGATATGACCCATTGGGGTTTCAGCTGCGTAAAGTTTGAGTCATCTCTAACTCTTCTATCCGAAAAGAAACTATTTTTAAAGCCATGTTGGCTGGCAGGCCGTGCCTTTCCTGATGAGTACCCAGACTCTCAAACTTGTCTTTCGCTGATTTTTTTTTTTTTGCACCATTTCCCAGTGGGATGCACAGGTGTGTTCTTAGGGAGTGCTGCTCAAGGACAGCCTGGGTGCGGTGGGTTCATGCAGTGCAGTGCCTTGACTGTGGGGCTCATCTTTCGTGGTCGTTCGGTAGGTTTAGCTGAACTGCTCCTGCAACACTAAGCAGATTTCAAAGCTAAAGGCATCTCCTTCTTCATTTTTCAGTAAAAGAAAGACATTTTGGCACATCTATGATATACCCATTATCGGATGTAATGCAGCTATGAATGATTTCAAAGAGAAATTACCAAAAGTAGTTGTTTTTAAATCAATGTCTTTGTAAGAGGTAAGGTCCAGTAGGATGGTTTGTGCATACAAACATTTTTGATATGTCAGTTTGGGAGGCATTCTTAATACATAGGGGGGTTGGGATATGATAGAGGAAGAAGCAGAGTAACAGAAATATGATGGGACTTAATATTGCCACTGAGCAATGTTGTATTTTTAGGGACTCGTGACAAGAGCTTTCTGCTATCAGCTGGGAGCTCAGCAGTGGGAAATGCTGGAGAGGAACAGGGAGTGCTGGGAGCCACAAATATAATGCAGCTGTGAAAAAAAATAACTGTTTTGGGATATAGCTGAGAAAACATTTCTGTTAAAGCCTGGGGAGTACTAATGCCACTTTAGGCAGGCAGTAGTGAGAACCCACCTAGAAATCTGTGCTACGGGTTTCAAAAACCAAACTACTAGGATTGAATTCATTGCCGGAATGGGTGGAGAGAAAGAAGCCAGAGGGAACAGAAAGTCTCTTGTATCACAGGAAATCCACAGATGAAGGCTATTCTTTCTAAAAATGTTCTTAAAACGTTTTGTAGAAAGAAATGATGCTGTTCTTCCAGTGTTGAGTTATGTAGCTGTGATAGCTAAGTCTTGCTATCCTAGTGCTTAAAGAGCTTGTTGAGGTAAGTCATGGCATCAGTGAAAAGTGGCTGTGACTTAAGCTGCTGCACAGATCATCCCCAGTTTAGCAAAAAAAAAAGTCATCAAGAACCTGCTTATCTCCAAACCTGTGAATCCCTTAGCAACCAGCATACACTAAGGGCCTTGCTCAGCCCGGGTCTGTCTGAGTGGAGCTGTGTTGGGGCCGAGCAAAGGAGCATGAGAAGAGACAAGAGGAGCTCTTGTGCCACCCTGGAGGCCCCAGGGCCTCTCCTGTGAACAGAGAAGCAGAAGTTATGAAATTCTCGAGGGATTTTCAGCTTTCAAATGGCCTTGATTGTGATCATCTGAGACACAGGTGGCTCCCTGGGGTACACGGTGTGCTGTGGAGCTGCTGGTGATTCAGCTCTGGCATCATCTGGGAGCTCCCTGATCTGTGCCCTCTCTTTTCTGAGGACAGCCTGGGACTCACCCCTGCATGGAGGCTTTCCTTGCCTGATGGCTTAGGCCAAAAAAAAATTTTCCATAAAAACTTCTCTGCAGTTAAAATAAACAAACAAACAAAACCCACCAAAAATCCTCATCAGCTGCATCAGACATGATGTTTCAACTATACTCTTGAAGGCAGGGCAAAGAATTGCCTTTTTAATTCTTTTTGTAGGGTTGATAGGTCTGTCCAGAAAAAGAAATAAAATCAAGATTATAAAATCGTGTAAGGTTTTGACGTGGTTTAAGGAAGAGTAACTTGCTCTGTAGTTCTTGTTCCACTGGATGCTCTGTGCTTAAAATAAGTTTGGTAGATGAGAATTTTCCACCAAGCAGATGGTTCATTTTGCTTAGATTATTTTTTTTCTTTTGCATGTGTGATATTCTCTTGTACAGATTTTCCTAGTTTTTTTGTAGCAACTTGCTCCGCAGCTGGCTTTTCATATGGCTGATTTGGGGTTTTCAAGTGAATTCATTTGAGAAGTTAAGAGCTGTTTACCTATTACTCAGCTTGGTAATGTATCCAGGCGCTCAGTGAAGTTGCATATTGATTATGATGTTGTCAAAACACTTGTGGCACTATCACAAAGCTCTTGGTCAACGATGAAGGGAAAAAAAACCACAAACAAACAATTTCTAGTGACTTGTGGGAGGAAAGGAAACTATTTAAGGATTTTTTGGCACTTAATAGTTGGAGAGGTCATAAAAAAAGCAGGGTATTTGATGTGAAATACCTTGAAAAGCATGAAAATTTCAGTATTAGTTTCAGTGCCCTGTTGAACTCCACTAAAATAGAATGAAGGAAGCTTTTCTCTCATGCTCAGGGCTGATGGAAAATAAATTTCAGTTTACTTTCCTCTAAATGCCTATTTCTTCCAGGTAAAGCCATTTTGAGACTATCAGCTTTGGAATATTATGTGCTTAAATGAATCTATTGTAGTAAATATTTAACATTGCATTTAAGAAAAAGACCTAATTATTCATTGAATTGTTTCTAACAAATATTTTGTCATACCATATAAACTTTGTAAGTGTATGTGCAAGGCACAAGACTCTTCTGTCTCTAGCAGCCTTTACCTTTTGCTTTGTTAAATTTTGTGCTATTTTATGAATGTACAAAACGAACTAGAATTTAGAAAAATCCAAAATACATGCGACTCAGTTAAAAATAAAATATCTTTTATTGGGGAAGTAACTTAATGCCCTGGAGGAAAGTACAGAATTTGGGATGAGTGTTTTGTTCCACAGTGGAAGGACTGGTCTGTGCTTTGTTGAGGGTGCTGGTGGTGGAGCAGTTGGGAGGAAGAAAAAGGTGTCAGAAGCCACCCCAGGAACTGGGGCTTGAAGGGCCATATTGGATGCTGCTTTCTGTGTCTTAGAACATGAATATTGGTGGAGTTGTGGTAGCCTTCTTGCTGTGTGATATGAAAAGGTTTATAGCTTTTTTTCCGCACATGAACTGTGTGGAAAACATTACCTCAAGACTATCATTGTGATGAGAAGACATTGTAGTTATTATATCTTGTCTAGCAAAGGTATTTTACACTGTCTAGTTTTGGTCATTGCATAAAGATTCACTGTCTTATTGTTCCATTCAGTGTATACTTTAAAACTTCATTGCTCTACTTTTAAGATCAAATTATTTTTTTTTATGATCAGCAAAGCTGAGAGTGCTTACTGTTCATGCTCATTGGAACTGCTGAATGTCTTGGGGAAAATAAACACTGCTTCTAATTCATGCTGTTTCCCTACAAATATCCAGATATTGGTAACTAATTTCCCCCCAGTGAAATGTTAAAACTCAAACAAGGCATATTGCAGTCTGGCTGACTGCGTTTCTTATCTAGTAGGCTCTTATTTTTAGAAAACTAAAAGGCTTTTCTGTCCTTGTGTTTGCCTGGCACCTGCGTGCTCGCTCCTTGCAGAGTCTCCGCGCATCCTGCACCATTCTCCATCGTGCTTCCTTCGTGCCAAGTCAGCGCACGAAGTGTTTTGCCAGAAAACTTGGTGGCACTACTACGGCGATACAACACCTTGTGTGCATGGCTTTTCTGAAAACAGGCAATTGGGTTTGTTCCTAATTTAATGG